AGAGAGAGAGAGAGAGGGGGGGGAGACCAAATCGGTTTCTTGCCAAGGTTAATTACTAATTCCTGCATTCTATGGATACTTGGAATTATGCGCACAACTGGTATATGATATCTTCAAGTTTGGATCAATGAAGGAAAATACGAAGGAATTTACGAATTAAGGAAAATGGCTCTGGAATATTTATAAAAATCTATGGAATATCAAAAAGATCGATAAAAGCTCGAGTTTAATAATATTAATTTAAAAAGTAAATATATCTAGTCACAGATATAACTACTTAATATTTTGATTCCGTGAAAAATTAATCAGTGTGGTGTGCACTTAAATTCGATCGCGACGAGACACGCTCGGAAATGATGCGATGCAGCTTTTTATCACGCAAACTCCAGTTTTCAGTTATGCAAAAATCCTGTTCACGGTCAACTGGTGCATATCCGCATCTTATTATTAAGAGCAAAGGTTACAAAAGAGGGAGAGACGTAGGGAATCGGCAGATTCGAGTCAAGTGACTCGGAAGCACATCGGGCGTACTGTGCTCAACGATGTTCAGCGACGTTCATATATGTATACGTGTAGAAAGTATACGCGAATGCGCGTGGCATACTATCGAGAAGCATTTTTGCCTTCGGGGTCGATCATCGAAACCGGAACGGGACGCGTGATGGTTGACGGTGCCGGTGAAACGGCCGGAAACTGAAGGCAACTCCACGCAGTCGCCTCGTGGGAAGCCTGAAATCCGCGCGTTAGCATCGACATTTTCGCGCGAGGGAATCAAAGTTGAGACCGACCAAAGATGAGATATTATCCATAGATTTTCGCACGAGCGTCGATGGAAATTCAGAAATGGTCGCAGCGTTAAAAATTGGGAGAATGACGGAGAGTTAACCCTTCTTTTTCTCTGACTAAATGAAATACTCGTGATATTTCTAATACTTGACATTTCGGTAGGTCGGGAAGAATCTTATATCGGTGATGATATTATTTATAGCCGCGACAAGCTGAAAATAAAGCGTGTGATATTTTTTCCCGGTTGACAAGATTTCTGGTGCCACACGATACGGCGCCACACGGCGATTGCCTGTCACGGCGCTGCTTGGGAAATTTGTCGACGCACTCGCGGCGAAACGCTCGATAACGCTTCCCGCTCTTTCTCGCTTTCCCGTTTTCCCACTTTCCCGCGATCTCCGGCACACGTTGCGAGACGCGCAGAAAACGGATATCTAGAAGCGTCTCGTCATCGACAATAATCCCGCCGCCCCTTGCTCGCTCATTGACGTTTCAGGCGCAATTGATGAACGTAACGGCGCGGCCGCGATCAAACGCGTAATTTCGCGTCGAAATGATCGGACACCTTCAATGATCGGATCTCTCACGCTGATTAAGCGCGTTTTAAACGGGATTATTTTAAGCGAGACAGCGCGATGACTTAAGCTCAAATCAGGACCGGCTTTTTTCATCTCCGGTGCAATTTCCGACTGTAGGCACATCCGTGTCCGATTTCCAGCTTTCGATCACTCTAATCAGAGAGATTGCTCGAAATCACAAATTTCAGGAAAATCATTCTTCCATTCAAATTTATCATTTATTTATCGAGTGTGAAACTTTCGACGAAAAACCTGTTTGGAGCACTCTCCATCTTCGCTTACGCACCGTTCTTTCTGTCGGAACACCCGGTATGTGCACGGTTATTCCCATAACCGATCCGTGCCATCGACGCTCGATATCCGTCCCGGCTACACAACGCCTCTCACGTAACCCGCGCTTCTTTTTGTTACATATCGCATGACTGTTACATGTTACACCACCACGCATAAGTTGGGCGCGTGGCGTGGCGTGGCGTGGCGTGGCTTAATGTGCGAAACAACGCGACCAACCGAGGAAACAACTTTTTGGCGAATACGCGTTTACCTGTCACGATTCACAATGTGTCACAATCGAAAGAGTCTTGGGAAAGCACGTTCGTACAACGCTCGAAGATGCACACGAAGAGACTCGAAGCTTGCTCTCCGGACAGATCGATGCATCCTGCATCGTCCCGGCGACGTGTCCTGTACCACCGGCTCGGCCGCTCACAATAGTTTTCACAGTAGTTTTCGCGCACCCCACATATTTCGACGCTTCCCCCTCACGATGCAACCGTCCGGAATCGCGGCTTTATTCGGAGGTGAGGATTTGATTGCGAGGGTTGAAACAAACGTCGTTAATACGAAAACAAAATCCTCGGGATCCAAGATGGAACGACCGTTTGGTTGGGAGTGACGCATTCGGATGACATATAATTGTCAAAAAATCTCACGCGTTTACTTCTCGGTAGAGACAAATAATAAATACGAATCAAATATCGTTGGCGATCACCCCTTTGTCGTAGACTGATGTGATTTGCCCGTGGCTCAATTTTCGGTTTCGAAAAATAATAATGCGGTATACTTTATACAAACTTGCGTGTTAAAAAGATTGTAAAATAATATTTTGCACGTAGTTGCGAATCTACGGGATATCTTTTAATTTCGCGTCGTCAGTACCTATTTTCGAACGTGACGAGTTTGTTCGATCGTTTCGAATCTCGCTCCTCGATCAAAAGCTCGTTGGCCGCGCGTCGTACGCGCGCGGAATCAGGCGAGATCCCTAGGGACCGGCGACGGGATCGAGATCAGAAAGTGACACACTTACCTCTCTGTGTGTGTGTGTGTGTGTGTGTGTGCGTGCGTGCGTGCGCGCGCGCGCGCGCGC